TCCTAGTAGTAAGGCCAGGAGCCCCTAGTAGCTTCTTGTTGCCAGTAAGGCCAGGAGCCCCTAGTAGCGTCCTTGTTCCTAGTAGTACGGCCAGGAGCCCCTAGTAGCTTCTTGTTCCTAGTAGTAAGGCCAGGAGCTCCCAAAAGGGGACTCACCACAAAAGAGTTGAATGTTCAACTTACGATCACAATCACTGCTGATTTATGTGTTCTTGCAGATGTTCAACTTCTGAACGGATATGCTCGTATTATTCGCTAATTATCGTCCATTGCCCTCCCTGATCACCAGAAATTATTGTCGAGAACCCATAGATCTCCATGACCTCATTTCTCTTCTTATGCAGGAGATGGTCCTCTCCATAGATCTTGCATTTCAAAAGGGGGGACCTCTTTGTACCAGGCGCCAGGCAGCGGATTGGCATGAACTCCGAAAAGACTGCTGAAACTGAAAGGCCCAGACCTGTAGGGGGGGTCTCCTCAAAGCCTTGGACGCCCTGCTACCCCAAAACAACAGAAAGGACGAGTCCCATGGCCCCTTCGAACAGCTGGCTCAATCAGTGCTGACCCAGCAACGCTCGGATGCCCGTGCCGCGCCCCAGGAATTCAGCTGACCAAGCCTCTCCAAAGAACAACACGCCAGGAGGAAGAACCATGAAATGCCGGGATCGGATTTCTGCATTTTGGTTTTCATATGTTATATGTTCTTTGTTTTTCAGCCACTGTGGGGATGTGAACACCCATGAAACCCAGGGAAAACGACACAGGAAACACAAAACAACATGTGTTGAGGATCAAGGTCAACAATGACTTTTTTGTGCGCGCGTTGTTTAAATCAATTATTTGTGTTTAAACCTGGATTTGCAACGGTGCCGATGGATCATCCCTCGAAAAGTGATGATTGGTGGATCGCAAAAGAAGCAGAAGCTCACACTGCATCAACATCAGGGGGGTTGGAGTACGTCGGGACCATTTCTTCCGTCGAGCGTCTCTGCTTAAGGTCACTCTCCACTCGCCAACTGGAAAATGAAGAACACCCCGACTTTCTATGCATCCAGGACTCCGGTACTCAGCCGAGTGGTGCCCTATGGTGCCCTCAAACGCTGAACATGTTCCACCCTCGCGCAGTGCGCGACTGCCTTCCTTTCTCCAGCTGGGTGTGCCACTCAAGCAGCGACTGGGCTGGGCGGGCCCAGTGGGCCCTATCGTGCGTGCTATGGCCAGGGCGGGAGGGATTAGATCTGACCAATTGGCCGTATTCTTTTTCACCCACGAGGGCATGTAATGTATATATATATACTGTGCAGTAACCAACGGCTCAAGGCCAGCTACAGTCCTTCCACTGTTTGCCACATCACGCAATAGGTGGAGGCTTACAACGCACAAACGGCCTCAGAAGCCTCCACAGTGTTACAAAACCATCCTCAGGGATAGAAGATCTTAGAGCTTTGCACACTTCCCCAGAATCAACCTCCGTGAGGATTTGCTGAATTATATACACCAAATGCCAAAACCAATAGCTAAGTGCTCGCAAAAGGCCTCTGTACATGCTTCGGCCGCAGCAGTGGGTCAAACGGTCAGCTTGTGCCACGGTGCGAAGAACAAAGCTTGGCACCACACAGGCGCACAAGATGTTTCTCAAGCACTGGCACTTGGAACGCCAAATATTCCTGAAGGTGATGCTGGAGGAACACTTCATGCGCTCAACTCAGTATATACAGTAAGGAGTGGTCAAAGGTTCCCCCCATGTGAAACATAAAAAGTATCATAGGTCGCCTCAGCCTTGTATCTCTACCCAGAGTTCAATGTCATCAAGCAGGTGTGCCGTGTGCCCATAAGAAGAAGATGCAGAATGCGGTTAAACGGCTCCGCATCAATGAGGTATAGAAGCAACATGCACATGGATGTACATGATGTATACCGGTTATATAAATTTACCGTTCACCAAGCCTGCTCATCTTTGAGCTCACCTCCAATCATTGGCTGAGCCGCTCTTACCTCTCCTTGTGAACATAGCATAACATAGCAACAAATTCCTGGATCATAGAAACACCTGAACTGAACTTGCTTGAGGTACGTCTGACTCAAGATCATATGAGACCATGAGACCATGGGACAAAACATCCTCATACACCGCCCACGTCGTCCGTCCTGGTAGAGCGGAGGATCCACGTTGACGTGGCCCGGTGCGAGGCCACTCGTTCGGCACCTCCCCGGAGCTGTGTAGACGATACAATCCGTGGACGCCCCATTTCTGAGCTTTGGAACAAACTTGTGATACGGACTGCAGCAGCAAGACAGGGCAGTGCTTCGGTGCTTCCGTTAGAACATGAGACATCTGTAAGATGGGTGCACTGTCGGGCTGAAGGGTTCGACAGGACACTGTCCAGGTCCTTCATTTTAGATATAGGACCAGCATGGCGGCAAAGGCCAGTCGAGTTGGGTGAAGGATTCTGAAATTAAAGCATCCAGCCACCAAGCGCTCGTTCCATAGTGATGCCATCAAAAGACAGGCAGGGCCGAAAACCTCTCCACCATTCTCCACTCATCTAATGTCCGGGCCTCCATCGTAGACTCAGGCACATGGGATTTTGCGGGCAAACGTGTCAACGCCATGGTCACCACTGAGAAGAACATGAGGGTAGCGCCCAGCATTGTCCGCACCCTTATCACTGTTGACTGCGGCAAGGGAAGGGCCAATGAAAACTCTGCGCCGGGTTGGAGGGCTAGACTGGAATCAGCTGAGGTCAATTCTGTGGCTGTCGATCTGGCTCTGAAACGCCTTCATTAGGAATTGATGGTACTCTGTGACTATGTCACTATGCCTTACTACCTGGCATTTTGTTGCACAGCTCTCACAAGTTCTCACAAGCTGAAGGAGCATAGTTCAATGTCTCTCTCCCTCGCAAATGTCCATGTGCTTGAAACTAGCCGATTCAAAAACGACTTTCACACCAGAATTCAAAAAACTTTGTTATTGCCATCTTCAAGCATACTAACCAGTAACAAAGCTCAGAGCATAGAAAATCTGCTAAATACATCCAAGTTGTCTTGGGCACCGAATGAAATACAGCGAAGTCCAACAAATACCTGCCAACCGCTGGGGAGCTGCCTGCCACCGAACAACCGGGTCCGCATGGTCTTGGTTGAGATTCCCTAATTATCCTAATTGCCATATCCGCAGTGATCTAAATGCTATCTACTCACCTGGAACAACCACGAAGACCCCACAAAGCCATATAAAGCCTGCATGGCTGTGGCCACCCCGCCACGTACTCCCCCACGACTCTGCGCGCCGTTCCGACCCTGTGGTCATTTGGGAGCCGGTCATCAGCGTGGAGCTTAAGGCGGCTGGACACTTCTTGGAAGCCACCATGGTCTCGGCTCCGGCAGTCAACGTCATATCCGGTGGATCTGGGGCTGGGTGCAAACTAAGAGAAAGGTGCTTGGCGTTCTTGGGCCCAAGCACAAAAAGAAGTCAAGAACCAAGCAAGTTAAACTTAACAAAGAAAGATTGTTTGGTATCATCATGATAATGTATCATCACTAGGCAAGCCAAATACTCCGCAAAGGACATTGAATACTCGTGGTTTTACTATATAGTATACTCGTATGTTGTGCTCTCTGGTGGGTTCCGACCCAAACGCACTCCCTTTCAGCGCCGTCCGGGCGCCAAAAGATTCGCCGCCGAGATGATGACGGTGAGCCCCAGGAACAGCAGCGCGCTGTTGCCCGGCGAAGCGGTCTCAGGGGAAAACGACGAACCGCGCAGCGCGGGCGAACCGGAAGAACGACCGCCCGAATCACCGACGTCCAACGGTTCGACCGACCAGTTCGACTGCTCCAGCAGGGAGGAGTCGAAAACCGGTCGGGTCTCCGGGTACCATGACCGACAGCGACCAGGAAAAGGAAAAAATCGATAACCTCCTCACACAGGCAAAGAAAGGAGAAACCACGGGATCTATTTACAGTACATCTATTTACATCTATTTACTGTAACTGTAGTCTCTTGTAGTGCCTTTGGTCCTTTAACTGGAAGGGCTACCAGTACCAGCTAAAGGCTAAAGGTGACAGTTTCAGATTGAAACTGCCAAACAAACATCGCAAACATGCCGCGAAAATCTGCAAAACCTTCATCCTCATTCATTCTCCCTCTCTGATGGTGCCTCCCCTCCTTATGTACACTCCAAGCAGCTAAGCTCTGAAATCTGCCATCCTTAACAAGTCGTAGAACATCAAACTTGCGATTCGACCGCGGGACCAGTTCAAGAACATCCAGGCGTTCTTAGGACCCACGCGCCCCATCCACCCAATCCGCCGTCGCACATTCCACAGAACTTGGTACCGAAACATCCTGGAACCCTCCTGGGAACGGCCAGAGCATCGGGCTGAGCCCCACCATTTCGGGAAACCAGATCTTAAGCCGCAATTGTCAACAGAAGGACGGCTCAAAGGTCTTTTTTGATGGACCTCATACGCACTTGAAGTCACAGATCTGAAAGAAGCCTTGCTTGATGTATCTTGATTTCACACCTAGGACCTGGGTGCTCCCCCCACTCAATCCCAGTCTACCTGCCTCCCACACACCCCTTGCCACCATGTAGTGGGGGCACGGAAGTTGCGCCTATATGTGGCTGAGGCTCAGGCACCGCAAACGCCAAGATCCAAAAGACGATCCACCGCTGGGTCATAGCAGAAGTGCTCAGCATCATCGAGGAAGCACCACCCGACCTAATGAACATCCGTGAGCTCTTCGGGCTCAAAACGGGTGACCTCACGGGCCACCCCTAATTAAACGCTTTTTTGGTGGAAATCGTCAGCTTTAGTGCTCAGCTCGAGGTTCCCCCCCCCACAAAAAATAAACCTCCTCTGACTCTCCAACCTTTTTTGCCGAGGAAAAAGTGCTTGCGCCAAGCCCAGCGGCTTGCGGGCGCAAATGAAGATCCCACCTTGAGCAATTCCTCCGCAGAGCGCCAACATGTTTCCTCGGCGAAGCAACACCAACATTGAAATGCTCGCATGGCATTCCATGTGCCGAGTTGGATGGGTGAATGTTTCTTGGATAATTACTCTTTCAGAAATCGAACCCAGAGTTGGCGTTGTTGATGGCCCCAGCTGGACTCAGTGCATGCGTTTGCACTTGTGTCATGTCTGTGGGAGTATGGTATTGAAGATTTGCCAAATAGGTTGGCTCTTGAGACCTATCTGTTGGATCTATCCTATTGGATGGTGATGGTTAGTAGAGGCCTTGCCCAAAAATAGTGATAATTGTTGACTGACTGTTACAGGTATATAATGGGACAGACCCTACCTATCTGATCTATCAAGAGCGACCATGAGCGACCATGTTTAAGTTCATTCAGTGAAACCGCCACTCACTCGACCAACGGCATAAGATCATTGAAAATCATTGACGTTCCGAGAAGTCCTGCTTGTATAGCCATTCGAATCATTGGATCACGCCTTTTCAAGCCATGGCCCCGTCACATCCGGATGTTCACCTGCTTTCCGTCACGTCGTGCGGGTCGAGGATCCCAAGAGGCTGGAACCCATGCTGGCCACCGCCTCCACGGGATCAGAGATGAAAACAGCACCCAGCACGCTCAGACCGACCGCCTCGGAGCGCTTTTCTTCCGGTGCACCACGCGGAGGCGCAGAGGCGCGGAGGGGAAGGCGGACCCGACGGCCCCCACTGGTGCTACACCGACCCCGGCGTGATGGACCGATGGTAAAGTGCGTTGAAACGTGTCGAAGGTGTGACACGTTCGATGCCCAAAGGTGTCGTTTGCTGCATGCTCCTCAAGGATCTCCGAGCCACCAGGAGGTGCACTTTGCCCAAAGGCTCCTGCAGCACGAGCCTTCCCAGCAGGGCCGCCACCACCTGTGGGGCAGTGGGTGGTGAGGCGGCTGGCAGGTGTAGATCCGTACTGAGGTCTTGAGATAGAATCCCGACCAATCCATGTGGGCGTTTGTTGCCTTAGTTTGGGACATAAGTGTAGATGTTTGCACAGAATGTAAGGAAGTCAGAGGTGAGACCCTCAGAGCAGCAGCTTGAGCATCTTAAGGTCGCAGTGGTACTAAGAGAAGGTGCCATGCCACAGGCTTTGATGACTAAAGCGCTTCGTTTTCTTACGGCGAAATCACCCCAAATGCTGTTCTGTTGAACCATCCAATCTCGGAAGACCCTCTTCGCGAAAAAAAAAAAAAAAAACACGACTTGGGGTGAATCTGCGCGGCACGTGCGATCGTCCGCCCCACCGTGTTCAAGCTTCCTAGCGCGCCCACAGTGCCGACATCGGCGCCGGCGAGCACCGCCAGGGGGTTCATGGCGCTGTTGATGCAGCCGAAGAAACCACAAAGCATCACCTCAGCCGAGGGAGCAAGCGGTTCGAGATTTTTTGGAAGGTTCCACTAAACCACAAGGCGAGATTGCAACTTGGGAACCATGGTTTCACTTTCATTGATGGTGCTTGTGTTCCCAACACGGTTCCCAACACAAGAACCACGGCTCACAGACCGTTAAATAATCATGGAAGTGGATTGCATGGCCGCTTGGATGACTCTTTTTCCTCTATGGTGCCATCCACTTCCATGATTAGTTCATGGAGCGCACCTCCAAATGGATTCTTCTTGTGGTCGGTGTTGTGGGGGTGGATTTGGGGCACTTTCGCCACTGGGCTGCCCTTGTGCAACACCTATCAAGGACTCACAAGAGACATGCCCATTTTGGAGATTGGGTAGCAATGAAGGCCACGCAAAATTCCTCCAGGAACACATTCCTACTTTCTGGCGCAGATGTTTAACATGTGGATGCAAGCAAGCAGAGTCAGTGCAGGATGAGGAAGAACTGTTATACCACAAACGCAAGCTCCACACGGTCTCCAGCCAAGTGGCCCACTTCACTTCCCTGCGTTCCAGGTACCAAGCTCCCTGACGGCCGTGGAACGGGTACCGCTTTGCACTTTGGGGGGTCACTTCGAGGCACAAAAGAACAGGTCTTGGAAGGCGATGTTCCTTTCTGCCCCGGTGCTTGGTCAAGGAGGACGTTCTCACAACAACCTTCTTTGGAAACCCCCCTTCCTCCCCCAACGCGGTTCCACGATCCACCCACGAAAAGGAGGATAGTTCAGGATCTCTGCAGCTGGCACCTTGGGTATCTCAGGTTTGGCCCTTTGCCACCTCTAACCTCCACTTCCAGGCCTGCAAAAGCATGGCCATCGCCAAGCCAAAGGCAATCACCAAGGCAGCTGAACCAGCCAGGAAAAGGTAAGGTAATTCCCAGCCTTGGGTGAAAAAGAACGAGACTCCAAAGTCTCAGGTGTCTGGGTGAGTTCCAGTCTGGTTGGCACGGCGAAGAGATCTGGTCTGTGATTGGCTGTTCCTCGCATGGGCATTGAAGATGAAAAGGACCTTCTCCAGAGACTGCTCAGAGCGCAGCTCAGCACAGCCAGAGCTAACTGCTCAAGATCATGGATGGTCTTTGCCGGATGGTCTGCGCTGTCCAGCAACAAATTGGATAAAATTGAGTTCATACAAGTATGCTGTCATTAATCCCACCGATTTCCACCACAGGCCCCATCCACAATCCACAGTACGTAGATGCCGCTGCTTTCCGCCTCTTCTGATGCCAAGCAGCCTTTCATGAACTTGCTCATCCTCAGGCAAGCCATGCTGCACATGCTGGCTGGCCCCTTCAGAACTCATCCTGATCCTTCCCTAAGAGCCTAAAACACAACTCGTCCTGGTGTCTTGAACTCATCCTGGTTCGGATGGCCAAGCACATGCCAAAAAACCTCAAGGACAACCCATCCCCAAACGTCATCAGCGGTCAAAAAGGAGGTCTCTTGTCGGATAGCTTGCTGGCCCCGGACAATTAAATGGAACTGAGGCTGAAGTACAAGCGCTGGGGTTTAGTCACCCGGGTTTGCAGAAAGTCACCCGGCCGCATGTAGACGCAGCATTAGTCAAAAGTCACCCGGCTCGCGAAAAGTCACCCGATTTATGTTAAAACACAATGTAGACGCCCTACGGAAGTATGTTTGTCAAAACTGCTATACATCAAGAATTCACTGCCCCTGTGCAGGAAAGAACTAGTTTTACGTCGAGTTTGCAGCGTTTTTGTGACAGAACCCCAATCAGAACGCAAGATAGCCTGCAAACATAGATGCAGGCTAGATTGATACATTTTTTGTCGGAAACATGCGAGTGCCGTGCGAGTCTTTTCTAACCTGACGCGAGTGCCGCGCGAGTCGAGGTATCCACCTACCCACGGCGATTATCTTCAAATCACTTTTTGGTCACCTTCCCTCTAACCTGCGTGTAAACGCAGCATCCAAACAATGTTGTTGACCAAACACTCTTTCAGTTATATTGCCATCTTGCATCTAACCCCATTGTAAACGCAGCATCCAAACGACTTTCTACAAGACCAGACGACTTAACACAGGTACTTGTAGATTGGAAGAAAAAGACCCATGCACAAGGTTCATAATCGTGAAAACACTGCATGAATGAAGGAACCACTGAGATACACGAAGCCAGATCCAACTCTCAGAAGCCTGCAGGCACCAACGTCAAGTGCATCCCAAGCATCACTAGGTTCATATTGATGAAAATGGCACACCTTAGAATCTTTACACTCCCTGGAACTAACATGGAAGTGGAGAATGGCCCCTTGGAAGACCATTTTCCACTACAAACATGTAGTTGTCCACTTCCATGTTAGTTTTCGGGAGTGTAGAATGAACGTGGCGCCAGCACAAACGATCATGAACAGTTCGTCATCGGGAAGAATGATGGGGCCCGCAAGGCGGAGTGGCCAGAAGTCAGGAGTGCTCGCTTCAGCCAGCCGGCCTGCGAAGACATATTTGATTAGATGTTCAACTGGGTGCCAGCAGTAGGATAGGCAACATCACCCAACAGCAACCGTAACAAAAGCAGCACATCCAACGGCGCAGGTTCTGAACCCATAGTTCTTGCCACTCCATTACATCAAGGCACCCGGCTGCAGCGGCCACACCTTGAACTTCATGGGGCAGCGATACCATGGCGCACACTCTCACGCTGCTGAAGGCAGAGCGATTTAGCCGCGGTTGTGGGAGAAACGCTTGCGCTTTGTCCAAACCCCCTCAGCAAGTGGGTGTCACTGTCTAACAATAGTTTGAGTCACCCAACTGGCTGCAAGTATGCATCGCATCGCCCAACGTTGCTGTCTCACTGATGGACCAAACCCCCCGAAACGTCCCCATCCTGTCCCCCAACCGTCAATCCCGTAGAGACCCGAAAGAATGCGCCTGGTCATGGTCTGAGTGCTCTGGAAGAAGACTCGCTCAAAGCTCTTCACCGATTTCTTGCCTTGTCGGATTTGCAACCGACGGACGGGCGGACCTATGTCATATCGTTTAACAGGATAGCAGGTGTTGGATAAGAAGCCCCAACATCCCCACACAGGGGTGGAGAGAGCGGGCATTCAGGCCCTAGATATGGTCCTAGTTAATGATTCCCAGTTACTTAGCTCAGAGTTAGCTAGTGAAAAAGAATGAGACACAAACACATCCTATGGCATCCTACTCGGCCTTCAACAAGCACCATCAGCAAAGGGGTGACCAGTTGAGACCATTTCTGGAGCTGCCGACGACCTCAAACGACCTTGGCGTCGGCTTCGGCTTTGGTCTCCCGTCCGGGGGTTGCTGGGCACACCAATGATTTGGTCGTTCAGGGCTTCACCCAAACAGGTCCCATCGCTGTGTTTCGCTTCACGCAGAACCTGCGTTTCGCCCAGACTGCAACACCTAGCGGGGTCACAGGTCGAGTGGCAGGTGGGGCAGCGGACATCCGGATGCAAACCACTGCCATCCGGCAAGGCATAGCCTTGGATGTACCATCACATGGGAAAGGCGTGATGGAATGCATGTCATTGGGGGCAGGCTTTCCAAGAGCCATCATGGCGGGGACTGCTACTAACAACTGACAAAACATTGAAACACTGAAACATCTTGTTGAGACTTTAGTGAGTGGTGAATGTCCCCTTCTTATCCTTCTTTCACTTCCAGCTGTTCAGCTCTGTCTTGAAAGGGACCTCAAGATGTCTCCCTTAGCGACGATCAGGCACAAGGAATGCCGGTGATGAGAGTACCTCTCCCATCCTCTCCCCCCTACTAAGTAGGCACTTCGATCGGCTTGGTTTCACCGATGCCTTCCTTGTTTCTACTAGCTTCTTGTTACTACTAGTAAGGCACTTGTTACTACTAGCGTGGCACTTGTTACTAGTAGCTTCCTTGGAAGGCTGACCCCTCCCCCCCAAGATCTCGTATGTTCGCCCACGGTCTGCCCCATGGTATGCCACTGGAACCACTGGAACCGGCGCCATTCGTGGCAAGCATGCATCCACTTCGCCACTTCGCCACGGTGCGAGGAATGTCGCGAGGGACCGGCACCGGTCGTTCAAACCAAAGAGAACCCATCGTTCCCATCCAACACCATGCGAAACCATGTTATATAACTGGGAATACAACTGGGTTGTAAATAAACTCAGTAGTCAATCTGCGACGTGTCCATTCCAACAATCGTTGACTTCACCCACCTGCTCCTTCCAGGCCAGAAGACGCAATGAGCAGCGGAAGCACACGAGGAGATGCCCACAAGGGAGGCACCTCAACAAGGGAGGCTGTGCAGGTGAAGACTCAGGAGGCCACGGACAAAACATCACAAAACGTTCAAAAGATTTCTCGAAAGCCTCAAAGTGATGGACAAGCGCCATACCCTTTGCAAGTTGTGTTGATTCGTTCTGTGTCCGGCAGGGGGGGCACTGACTCGAGGTGTGGGCTCAATTTCTTGAGGGTGTTGCTTTGCTCTGGTTTGGGGGTTGTGGGCGTCAGTGGAATGTTGCCACAAGCGGCCTCGTGTGAGAATGGACATCCATCATCCCCCACCAGAATTTCACAATCACGTTGAGCGTGCCATGCAGCTCCAGGATGATTGACCCTTTCTAAGTCCACTCCCTCTTACTTTAGCCCCAAGGCACATGGTGTTGGCTGCGGCGTCTCCACACAGGATACAAGACCCAGTGGCCAGCCCTTCATCACGCGGTGCGCCAGTACGCAGCTCGCGCGCCGCTCCCGCAGCCGCGGCGGGGCCGCGGCGGGCAGCGCTGTAGCCGGGCGGAGCTACACGGGCAATGGAGGGCAACTCTTGAAACTCCGGCTCACCTCAGTTCGGGCAGATGGAGGGCAGCTCACTTCGCATATATCTATCTAATCAATCTAACCTATCTAATCAATCTAAACATTCTAAACAAGCTAACCAATCTAATCTATCTAATTTATTTAATCTACCTAATATACCTAATCTATCTAATCAATCTAAACTATCTAATGAATCTAATCTATCTAACCTATCTAATCTATCTAGTCTACCTAATCTATCTAATCGATGAAATCCATCTAATCGATCTAACCGATCTAATCATTAATCTATCTGATCTATCTGATCTATCTACTCAATCTGCTCAATCTATTCAATCTAATCAATCTAATCAATCTCATCTATCTGATCTATCTAATCTATCTAATCTATCTATTCTATCTATCTATCGGTCGATCTATCGATCTATCTATCCATCTATCTAAAAATCTTGTGACACAATATATGCTGTGTGTACACCACCCTGTATAGATATTCAATAATGGAAGTGGCCCGTGTACTCTGCCAAGGGGCGCTTGAGGCAGCACGCGCATGCCTTCTGGCCCATGATGCGTGCCAAGGAGGCAAAATCTGCTAGGGAAAGAACAGGAGATATCTTGAGCTGTTGCTGTGAAGAAGGTGTACATGATGACAGTATGTGCAGATTCGCCATGGATGTCTCAAAACATCTCAAAACTAAGTTGTTTGTTCTCCTCTCAGGCCTCTAATTGAAACGACCTCCGAGGGAGTTTCCCAAACCTGCGCAAGCAATCGCAACTGCTAGTGGCGAAAGGCTGCATGAAAGTTCGTGACATGCTTCCAAACAGGTTGCCTGGTCATGCAAAAGGGCTAGGTGGCTAAAGAATGCTAGAGACATACCGAAGGTTGGGCAGCCAGGAGACCTAGTCCTTATGTCCACTGGTTCTTGAGCCTTGGCGCTGGTAGGCTGTGGTAGGCAAGCGGCTGGGAAGGAAAGGTTTGCCGCATGCCAGGCACAATTGGCTGTCCAAATGGATAGCATCAGAGACTTCAACTCATTTTTCTAGCAGTTGGGCACTCTGAGGCTTGGCCCAGCAAAGTAATTCCAGCAAACCGGACCCGAGCTCTTGACCTGTTGGGGGGAGTTCATCTGTACTTGGCCACCGGTTAGTATCTAATATCACAATTTTATATAATATATATTGAAATACTATATAAGTGTATAAGGCAAATGTTGAAGATAGAACATTCCACGAACCTTCCCGGATAGAGAAAAGGGAAGAAGCCAAAAATCTTGGGAAAATCCAAAAGACCACCGAACCACCAACGTGTTCCTTTGTTTCCTTTGCGTATCTCAATTTCCAGGTCACATGCTTATCAGGAATCTTCGCCCAAATCCATGCCAGCTTCTTCTAAGTGACTTTTTGGAGGCCCTGCGGGCACGTCACATCATGGGGAAGCACAGAAACACATAAAGCCACCCAAGCTTGAAACAAATGCAACTGAACCCGGATCTTCAGGCAAGAACGCCCCCTTTCGTTCAAATTTAGCGCAGCTGATGCAGGGTTTCAACTAGGGGTAAGGGATCAAAAAGAATATAAATAGAATCAACAAACATATTCAACGGGGATCCCAAAAAAATAAAAGGGCACCGAAAAAAAATTCTAGCCCACTGAGGATGGTTGGGGTAGTGGTAGTAGTAGTAGTAGCAGTAGCAGTAGCAGGAGACCAAGGGAAGAGGATGGAAGGAGTAGGGGACTAGGAGAGTGTACCTCCCTAGGAGCTCCTTCGTAGGGAGCTATTTCTACGGGTGAACCATTTTTCCAGTAGGGCTACTCAATGACTGGACGGCTACCATCATTGGGTACCTACTTTCCTCCCAGGGAGCTGCCTCTAGTAGAAAGCAATCAAGCCTCTATTTGCGCAAGCAGGGGACCAGGAGACCGAAAGACGAGCGGAGTAGGAGAGCAAGAGACCAGCGGACCAGGAGACAGAAGGACCAGGATACCAGGGGACCAGCGGACCAAAGGACCAGTGGACCAGAGGACTAAGGGACCAAAGGACCAAGGAACCTTATTACCAGAGGACCCGCAGACCACAGGGCCAGGAGAGCAGCAGAAGAGGCCTATCAAGGAATATGTTTTTTTTTGATTCGCGTTTTATGTTTATGTTGATCCTCTTTTTTTTATGCTCGCTCTATTTTTTTGGATACCTATGCCTTCAACTAGGAACTTTTTTTGTAGACCAGGTCTTCCTATTCTGACCCCTCAAGTTTACTTGAACTATGTCCAACTGTTCATGTATTATTGTGGGCGCATGAATCCCCAAGAGTTAAAGGTTATCCACTTTTCCTGTGTGGGTGTTAATCCATATTGATCCTACTGTCACGTCTGGTGGCTCAACAGAAGCTGCCAGCTACTTGATGTCGCGCTCTGTGGTCTCTGGGGTTCCCAGCTTGGTTCTTGTCACAAATCAGCCAGGCCTCGACTCAAGTGATGATCGTGGGTCAGTGGCTGCTGTGAAGGCACCAGCATGTTGGGAGAGGCTGGGCTCGGAGTGCTCTGGTCTCTGTGCTCTGAGGCTTGGAGGCGCCGGTGCGAAGAACATCGTGAAAACATCATCGGATCCACGGTGATTGGCCTAGCTCAAGACTTGGCTGATGTATAGTATACCATCTCTATATACCTGAAGTCATCAAGTATATATAGGCTCCAAATGTCTTCCATCACCACTCACCGCGTTGGAGAACTCCAACGCCTTCCATTCTGAGCTACCCAGCCCCACTGATCCAACGCTCGTCCCCGAACACGCTGGCGTTGGCGTCCAGCAGGGCCTGGAAAGAAAATTGCCATTTTCTCGAACGATTCCGTGAACATAGGGATTGTGG